AATGCGATTTCATACAATGAATATGGAAAAAATCAATAAGATCATTGCTGAATTATGGGTAAATACATATGTAGGCGATGGTATGTATAATTATTGGCTTGAAATTTATTATCATGCTTTATATTACATTGCTAATTGGCACCTTATAGATATCGATCGCATTGAGATAAGATCTGAAGAAGAAACTACCAGAGCTAATCAATCCTACAATTATAGGGTAAGCATCAATGTTTTTATTTAAATAATACTTTCAGTATGATTAACCTAAGTTATTTTATTTATTTTATTAGCAGGTCGTTATGGTCACATACGGTAGAGCTATTGATATGCGTGGAATGTGCAGCGCTGGTCAAAAAATGTTAGCATTAATTATAATTAGATTGGCATTGACAGAAACTTCTTGTATAAATTGTGGTGTTTTCGTTCTTGATGAACCTACCACAAATCTTGATGAAGGAAATATTGAAAATTTGGCGGCTGGCTTACGAGGAATACTTGAATCTCGTCGAGGGCAGTCAAACTTTCAGTTGATTGTCATCACTCATGATGTCAACTTATCAAGAATGATAGGGAAGCTCAATATTCTGATAAGTTTAATAAGTTTATCAAAGTTTCGAAGAGAAAGCAAGTATAATTTTATAATCTCATTTATGAAGTTCAAAGTATTTTAAAACTAATATTATATATATATTTTTGTCTTTTTTTATGTTTGGAAATTTTAGTGGTTATAGCTCTGTTAGGAAAAAATATTGGCAATTACCAGGATCAGATAATGAAGAAAACGATAGCGAATAGCTCGAATGTTTTGTATTATCACCTGGTTCACATGTAATTCTATATATGCTAAATTTTTTACTTTGCAAAATAAATTTACTTGATTACATATTTTATAAAGAGATACGCATAAGCGCTTTTTTTATAACAGCAATAAACGGTAAATGTTGTTGAGACTGTTTCGGCCTTATTTATTTTTTATAGTCATTATGCTTACGATAAAACATTATCAAAATCGATAAAAAATCTTAATTAATACAAAAAAATACTTTATTTATTTATTATACTTAGAATTAAAAATATACATGTACATAATTTTTCTATATTATACTATATAACTATCCAAATAATTTTTAAAGGATACTTAGTTTCGGCTAAAATAAAAAAAGTAGCTTACTTGTCCTAGTCACCACGTAGAGGTGTATCCTATGACTAGGGAAATGTCTCGACAAAGAACT